AGTAGTATTAGCATCTAGCAAGGAGGAGTTAGAGATAGCTTTAAATAAAATAGAAGCGGTATTGACAAAACAGTATTATATGAAAATAAATAAAACTAAAACAAAAGTACAGGTATGCAAGGGAAGAAAAGATTTAGGAAGTTAGATAAGTCAGGATGGAAGGATAAATAGGGATATAATGCAGAGGATAGGGCAGGGTCGACTCGCCTTCAGTAAAAAAGGTCACTTCTGTGCTAGCGAATGATTAATTTTGAAATTCAAAAAAGTTTGTTAAAGGTATATGTTTGGAGCACGGCACCGTACGAGTGTGAAGTATGGACGGTGGGCGCGGCGAAAAAGAAAATGTTAAAAGCTTTCGAAAGGTGGTGTTACCGGCTAATGATGAGTATACCGTGGATAGAGAAGGTTAGAAATGAAAGGGTATTATAAATAAAAGAACAGAGGACGCAATGGAAGTCCAAAATAGGCGGGATAGGTTGGTAGGACACTCTCTCAGGAATGAAGATCTAATCAGACACATATTAGGAGCAGAAACAGGAGTTAAGAGGAGAGAAGGTTGACCTACATTTCACCATGATTCCTGTTCGCAGATAATTAAGGATGTGGGATGTACTAGTTTTAATGGAACGCGAAGATTAGCTCAGGATAGAAAGGAGTGGAAGTGCGTTTCCAACCAGTCTTAGGACTGGCGACGATCATCATCATAAGGTCATCAGTCCTATGATGATGACGATGATGAGTATTAATAGTACTTTTTACGGAAAATCGACAAGTGAATGATTTGTGTGATTGTAGACTAGAATGTTTATCTGACGACGCAGCTTTTGCTCCAGAAATATGGGCAAGGTTTTCTTGTTCTATTTACGAATGAATTTTGCTACAATAGCGACTAGATTAAGGTAGGGTTTGCATTATTTTGAAACCGTCGCGTTACATTTACCGTCCCCATTAAGTGAAGTATATACCCCATACACTGGACAGAACTTACGTATCGTAATAAAAATTTATTCTGAAACGTTGATACTGAACGGAATTTATGTTATCTGACGGTGCCTCTGAAGAGTCTTCATGCTCTCTTCAATTTCCCATTTTCCGGCTGAACAAAAGATATGGAGAAACTGACGAGCACGGTAAGAAAAACCATTAATTACAAACAAGTACTTTATTACATAATTGAACAGAATACGGATCAGATAAAGTCTCTAGTTAAATCATGAAGTTAAGTAAAACGTGTCACACAATTGTTTTTATACAATTGCATGAATGCATAAATAAACATGCTCACTTCTAAGAAGGATTTGTAAATCTGAATTATTAATTAGTAGCCCACTTCTAGATGATAGTGTCGTCATAAAAATCTAATAATGTACTCATATGCTAATGATCTAACGTTCTAGCGTAGGTGTGTTTGTAATGGAAATATGTAGATGTAGCTGTCTTCGTTGTCGATACAACATTCTTGATAGTGATGAGTAAACCAAGTCCAAAAGCAAGACTGCCCAATTTTTTCTTTTAGTAATTCTAATCACAAATTTTCTGAAGTGAAACATCTTTACGCACGGTAGGGTAAGTTCGTTTCATGCGAGTTGCTATGTTACGATATCATGCAAAGCATTTCCCCCGCTGTTTGTCCGTATGTATGCGTAGATCTTTAAAACTACGCAACGGATTTTAATGCGGATTTTTTTAATAGATAGAGTAATTCAAGTGGAAGGTTTATATGTATAATACATGCATAATATAGAAGAGAAACACTGATAATTTTAGAGGTTTGTAAAGTGATGTCGTAAATAAACACATTTTTTGCGCTTGTGTTGTACACTTTAAAAAGGTCTACAAGAAAGTCCGCGATGGTATATGTCTATCTCTTACGGATAACCCATAATACCAATTGTGTATCCTTTACTTTTTACGAGAAATAATGGCTTATTTACGAAGCGATTTTAAGCAATACAGCATTAATCCTTATCCAATTAAGTACTTTGAGATAATGACGGCATCGAAGGAGGAGCTGAACAAGATCACAAAAAATTATTTTTTGAAATGCTTCGAGGATTGGAAAAAACGTTG